GCACCTTATCGCATGCCTTTTGGACATCCAAATGTGCAACATCCACTCAATCCTTTTTGTTACACCCTTAAAAAAAACTCTCACAAATTGTCTAATACAATTTCCATTCATACCACAGTGTTTTTTTCATTCTTTCATGAAATGTAGAAACACTGGTTGGGCCAACATCTATTGCTCATCTCTAATTGCCCTGAGAAGGTGTTGGTGAGGTGACTTCTTGAACTGCTGCAGTCTGTGCTGTGTGGGGATATGCACACTGCTATTAGGAAGGATGTTCAGGGTTTCAGGAGAACCTGCAGAGGGTGGTGTTCCCATGTATCTGCTGCCCTTGTCCTTCTCAATGTAAGTGGCTGTGGGTTTAGAAGGTGCTGTCTAAGGACCCTTGGTGAATTTCTGCAGTGCATCTTGTATGGGTAATCAGCAGGAAGTTGCATTGTCCATATCTGATCTGATGTCGCGAGTCTTCGTGGGTTAAGGCAAAATGTAGAGGACTCCGAGGGCATCTCCCTCCTGACTGTAAACCACTATGCCACCACCTCTGCTGGGTTTGTCCTGCTGGTGAGGCAGGGCATATCCAGGGATGATGATGGTGGTGTCTGGGACATTGTCAGCCATACTTACGGAATCATACCTGACAATGTCAGGTTTTCCCAATCTGGGCATTAGCTTCCAGATGCTAATAAGGAGGACTTTGCAGGGTCAACAGGGCTGTGTTTGCTGGTCTAGTTTCTGGTGCCAAAGTCGATGTCAGATGGTTCATCCAGTTTTATTCTTTATTAAGTTTTCTGTAATGTTTTGGTACAACTAAGTGGCTTGCTCAGCCATTCAGAGAGTAGTTAATAGTAAACCATATTGATGAGGGTCTGGAGTCACATGTAGCCCAGAGCAAGTGAGGTCAGCTGATTTCCTTCCTCAGTTGATATTAGTCAAACAGTTGGATTTTTGTATCAATGAATTGGAACCCATGCTCTCAGTCCATTAGCCTCCAGATTCTTGGCCAGTGACATCACTATGACATCACTGATTGTTTTATGATTTTCTAAAAATGTCATGACTAACTTCTGAACACAGTCACTTTCCAAATGACAGATATTAGACCAACTGCACAAAAATTCCTACTTCTTTTCTCCTTTCTTGAAGAGAGGTATTTATAATTGCCATTTTCCAATCCAATGGTAACCTTCCAGAATCTGGGGAGTTTTGAAGCTTGGGAATTTCAGTCTGTTGAAAATACTCACACATTTCATTAAAGACATTAAAAGTTCTAGTCTCTGTTCAAAACCTCTAAATCTCACTGTGACTAACAGCCAATCATGTGGCTCAGCTAGACTATGCCTGCAGCTTGGAGGCACAGCAAGGGCACCAGCAGGCTCTTGTGATCCACCTCAAAATAATTCTATCCCTCACCTTTGAGTTTCAGAGCAGGTCAGTAAATAAAACAGGATAGTGTGCACATATAGTAGGTGTCCAGGAAGGATTGTTATTATTTATTACTTAGGAATGGGAAGTAAATTTTTAGCAACAGTTATATAGTTTTGCTGAGGCCACAGCTGAAGTACTTTGTACAGTTTTGGTCTCCTCATTTAAGAAAGGATACAAATGTGTCAGAAATAGTTTAGAGAAGTTTCACTCGACTGATTCCTGGGATGGTGGAAATTATATTATGATAAAAAGTTGGATAGGCTGGGCCTGATTGCTATTGGTGAATATGAAATTCAAAACTTTGACCTTGATGACAGAAAACTTTAATAAGACACATAAACCACTTTTATAAAAACAGTCACTAATTTGTTCAAATATAAATGCCAATTGTTCCCCAGAAACTGAACAATAAAGTGTCTATATTCATTAATTCAGTATAGTTTTCCTCCACAAATCATTCCATGGCCCCAAAGTTAATGGTGGAACTAATGGATCTCATAAATTGGACTACTTTGGATCTCTGACAGCAATTTTTGGATTTATCTGTTTAACCACAGAACTGCACTGACCTGAATTTACAGTTTGATCTGTTCATAAATAAGTGTGATGCCAACAGAATTTCCATCACTATGACAGCAAATTTTAGGCCATTGTGAGTTACAGAGTGGTCAAGCATAACAATAATGAGTTATATTTATATAATGTCTTTAATTTAGTAAAAGGTGTAGTGGGGCTGGAAGAGCAGGGGAGAGGAGAAGGAAGGAAGGGTGTGATTGAAAACAGGACAAAAGGTTGCACTTTTGACTTGGGAGAGGATGAACACTTCCTTAAGTATCGGGATGCGGAACCAGACAGGACAGGGCAGGGATGGGTTGAATATGGATGAGAGATTTCTGCTCCTCTACTCTTTTAAATGAAAGATAGAAAAGAAAAAATCAAGACAAAAAATCTTAGCAGCACGGTGGCTCAGTGGTTAACACTGCTACCTCACAGCGCCAGGGATCCAGGTTTGATTCCACCCTCGGGCAACTGTCTGTGTGGAGTTTGCACATTCTCCCTATGTCTGCGTGGGTTTCCTCCCACAGTCCAAAGATGTGCAGGCTAGGTGGATTGGCCATGCTAAATTGCCCGTAGTGTTCAGGGATGTGTAGCTTAGGTGCGTTATAGGGGGCTGGGCCATGTGGGATGCTCCAGGGGTCATTGTGGACTTGTTAGGCTGAAGGGCCTGTTTCCACACTGTAGGGATTCTACGATCTATAAGACCCCCTGACACTGTCTCCATCCGGCATTCCTGGGATAGGGAGAGGGCCTCCTACCCTCCCTTGACCTCTTCATCTCCAACTGCCGTTGAGACATCAATCGCCTCAACCTCTCCACCCCTCTCACCCACCCCAACCTCTCCCCCAAAAGAACATGCAGCCCTCCGCTCCTTCCGCTCCAATCCCAACCTCACCATAAAACCCGCGGACAAGGGAGGCGCAGTTGTAGTATGGCGCACTGACCTCTACATCGCCGAGGCCATGCGCCAACTCTCTGACACCGCCTCCTACTGCTCCCTTGATCATGACCCCACCCCTGACCACCAAAACATCATCTCCCCACCTACGTCCGTGACACCACCCATACCTTCCACCTGCTCCAAAACTTCCGATTCCCTGGTCCTCAACACCTCATCTTCACCATGGACGTCCACTCCCTATATACTTGCATTCTCCATGCAGATGGCCTAAAAGCCCTCCGCTTCTTCCTGTCCCGCAGGCCCGACCAATCCCCCTCCACCGACACCCTCATCCGCTTAACCGAACTCGCCCTTACCCTTAACAACTTCTCCTTCCATTCCTCCCACTTCCTACAGACAAAGGGGGGGTGGCCATGGGTACCTGCATGGGCCCAAGCTATGCCTGCCTCTTTGTCCCTCTTCCAAAGCTACACTGGTCCCATCCCCCACCTCTTCCTCCGTTACATCGATGACCGTATCGGCGCTGCCTTGTGCTTCCACAAGGAGCTCAAACAGTTCAACCACTTTACAAACACCTTCCACCCCAACCTTAAGTTTACCTGGACCATCTCTGATACCTTACTCTCCTTCCTGGACCTCTCTGTTTCCATCTCTGGCAACCACCTGGAAACTGATATCTATTTCAAGCCCACCAACTCCCACAGCTACCTAGAATACACCTCCTCTCACCCACCTTCCTGCAAAAATGCCATCTCCCATTCCCAATTCCTTCGCCTCCGCCGCAACTGCTCCTGAAATGAGGCATTCCACTCCCGGACATACCAGCTGTTCTCATTTCTCAAGGACCGCAATTTCCCCTCCACAGTGGTCTAAAACACCCTCGACCGCATCTCTTGCGTTTCCTGCAACTCATCCCTCACACCCCTTTCCCACAATAACAACAAAGACCGAATCCCCCTTGTCCTCATGTATCGCCCCACCAACCTCCGGATTCAACACATCATCCTCCGCCACCTACAAGCTGACCCCACTTCAAAGACCTCATTTTTCCCTCCCCACCCTTATCTGCCTTCCAGAGGGACCACTCTCTCCGTGACTCCCTTGTCCGCTCCACACTCCATACCAGCCCCACCACACCCGGCACTTTTCCCTGCAACCACAGGAAGTGCTACACCTGCTCCTACACCTCCCCCCTCACCCCCATCCCAGGCCCCAAGAAAACCTTACACATTAAACAGATGCTCACCTGCATATCTGCTAATGTGGTACACTGCATCCGCTGTTCCTGTTGTGGCCTCCTCTACATCTGGGAAACCAAGCGGAGGCTTGGGGACCGCTTTGTGGAACACCTACGCTCGGTTTGCACTAAACAACTGCACCTCCCAGTTGCGAACCATTTCAACTCCCCCTCCCATTCCTCAGACGACATGTCCATCCTGGGCCTCCTCCAGTGCCACAACGATGCCACCTGAAGGCTGCAGGAACAGCGCCTCATATTTTGCTTGGGAACGCTGCAGCCCAATGGTGTCAATGTGGACTTCACAAGCTTCAAAATCTCCCCACCCCCGACCTCATCCCAAGACCAGCCCAGCTCGTCCCCGCCTCCGTGACCTGTCCGTCTTCTCTCCCACCTCACTGACCAACCCCCATCCCCACTTCCTACCTACTAGCCTCATCCCCACCTCCTTGACCTGTCCGTCTTCTCTCCCACCTATCTGCTCCTTTATCCACTCCTTTATCCTTTATCGCCTCCCCCTCTCCCTATTTATTTAGAGTCCCCTTCCCCTCCCCAATTTCTGAAGAATGGTCCAGACCTGAAACGTCAGCTTTCCTGCTCCTCTGATGCTGCTTGGCCTGCTGTGTTCATCCAGCTCTACGCCTTGTTATCCCAGTTCTGTGAATGATGCAGCAACTGATGGAAGCTAATGGGGATCAGTTATTTGGTGGGTCCTCAAACAGCCTCCTCCTATTCACTCAGTGAGTCACTGCCATTTAAAATAATAACTAAGAGTTGGGAGAAAATGATTATTGAAAATGATAGATAAATATAAATACAATATCATCACTTTGAATTTCCCTGCAATGACTGATGTCCGATCTGCTTCCTTTGTTATTACAGAGTCATTGCAACAACTCAGATGCAGCCGACTGATGCCAGGAAAGCATTCCCGTGCTTTGATGAACCAGCAATGAAAGCAACATTCAACATAACTCTGTATCATAAAGATGAACACATTGCAATCTCCAACATGCCAAAAGAAGGTCAGCTTCACAACTTCCATAAGCTAATTAATAGTGCTTTTAATTGAGTGTCTCAGATAAAACTGCTGTGTGTTAAAATCTTTTGTTGTGCTTTTGGTTACACTTCATGCCCATGCTCCTGATCTTTGGACAGCTGGTGCAGAAGGGCGTGGGCAGGTCAGAGGATCCTCCTCGTGGGTCTGCTCCTGGGCCTGGCCAGACGGGTTGTAAACAGGTCCAGGCAGCGGGCCGTGGAGGGGGTCGTATCTGCCAACTGCCTGTCCCTCTTCTGCAGTTATATTCGAGCCCGGTGTCATTGGAGAGGGAGCATGCAATGTCCATTGATGCTGTCAATGCCTTTAGGGAGAGGTGGGCACCATGGGGGGTACTGTGTTTTATTTCCCCCTCCAACTCCAATTTGATTTAGTCCTTTCCTGCTCTCCCTTACTCTCCCTCCCCCACCCCTGATGGTTTGTATTGCCCATAATAGGCTTTGCTTCTAAATGTTCCATTGGCCACATGGGTGCTTTTACTGGTGGTGGTTATTAGTTTTTTTTAAAACCTGCTGTGACAGGGATGAGGATTTGCAAGGGTTGGGTAGAGTGAGGTAAAGGTGGTGAAGTCGGGGAGGGGGCAGAATGGGTCATTGTCACGTTAATGGCCATTTATCCACAGTTTCCAGGAATCAAAAATATAGTCCAGATGTGGAGGGATCTGATAATTCACCTGTGAAATTAGATCTATGCTCAGCCATGAATAAAGTAGTCAGTAATAGCCCTGTTCTCACTAACTCCTAACATATGGAGCACTCTCTGAGCCTGAGGATGTGAATGACTGTAGTGATGTATAGTTTGAATTTCTGTCAATTATTTTAAATCTGGATGCTGACACCACACGAGTGAAAAAATATTTAATAGCGACAGTGGCAATTTTGTTCCATTTGATGTGAAACAAATTGACAGAAGATTCTCAGATCAGGAATTGGAGAAGTCGCAACGTGGGCAGGAAAAGGAATGACAGTCGGACAGTGAAGAACTTTGCAAATGGGCAGGAATATTGGCTGGTGTTGGAAGATTGGATTGATGAGACGTTTGGAAGTATGTGGTAACTCAATGAGACTAAATGGAGACCAGAATGGCTAACCACGCTGGGGACTAACTTGTGAACAGGATAATTTATTTTCTGTGGGAAAATCTTTGTATTTAACACAAACATTGTTTTCAGATATTAACATTTTGATTGATTGGAATCTATCCCATTGGCTCTTTCATAAATCATGTTCAACATCTGTGATTGAAAGTTGCCATTTGCAATATTCTGCAAGATGTAAACCTGTGACTGGTTGGACTTTATTGAGTTCAATTCTGGGGACCACACCCAGGAATGACGTGATGTCTTTGGTGAGCTCCAGAGCCACCTAACACCACAAAGTGTGTTCATCAGCTGGAGATAGGACTTTCTGCCCCCACCTAATGGTGATGGTCTACCACCACCCTCTTGGTGAAAGAGGTTTTACCTATGTCCCCTCTAAACCTCCTGTTATTCAGTTTAAAATTACACACCCTTGTTATTGACCCTTCAACCTAGGGGAACAGCTGCTTTCTATTCACGCTGTCCATACCCCTCATAATCATATACACCTCAATCAGGTCCACTCTCAACAAATTTTGCTCCAAAGAAAACAACCCGAGCTTATCCAGACTCTTTTCATCGCTAAACTGCACCCTCCCAGCCAACATCCTGGTGAATCTCCTCTGCATCCCCTCCAGTGCAATCTCCTTCTACCTATAGTGTGATGCCCAATACTGCACACATTATCCAGCTGTGGCCTGACCAAAGTTCTGTACAGCCACAACAAAACCTCGCTGCTCTCATAATCTATGTCATGACTGATAAAGGTAAATGTCCTATATACCTTCTTAACCACCCCATTAACTTCTTCTGCCACCTTCAGGGATCTGTGGACAAGTACCCCAAGATCCCTCTGAGCTTCTGAGTGCCCTGCCATTCATTGAGTACTCCCTCGTCTTGTTCCTTCTTTTAAAGTGCATCAACTCACACTTTTCAGAGTTAAATTCCATCTGCCCATCTGACCATTTGTTTATATCCTTCTGTCATTTAAGACCTTCCTTCTCACTGTCAGTCACCCAGCCAATCTTTGTGTCATCTGCAAACAAACTTATCCTTCGCTTCCCACCACCCCAAACATTTTCTTTTTTATCATTTCAATATATCACACACAATAAGGAATCAAGCACTGATCCCTGTGGTATGTCTCTGGGCACTGGCCTCAAGACTAACAAACAGGCCTCTACCACCACATTCTGTCTCCTGTCACTATCAATTTTGTATCCAACTTGCCAAGTTACCCACAATCCCATATGCTTTCACCTTTATCAGTCTCCCATGTGGGAATTTTTCAAAGGTTTTGCTGAAATCCATATAAACTGCATCAACTAATGATGACAATGAAACTTCAACAAGAATAAATTTTATAGTTACATAAAGGGAGAGTGGGTGGTCAGGAACAATGCTGGCCCACTAAAGGCTGAAAGTGGGGATATAGAGTCATGGAACTGTACAGCATGGAAAGAGACCCTTCAGTCTAACTTGTCCATGCCAACCAGATATCTTAAATTTATCTAGTCCTATTTGTCAGCATTTGGCCCATATCCCTCTAACTCCTTCCTATTCATATACCCATTTTAAATGTAGTAATTTAAATGTAGTAATTTTAAATGTAGTAATTTTAAATTTTAAATTTTAAATGTAGTAATTGGACCTGCCTCCTCCACTTCCACTGACAGCTCATTCCATACACACCACTTTTTGTATGAAAAAGTTGCCCCTTAAGTCCCTTTTGAATCTTTCCCCTGTCACCTTAAACCTATGTCCTCTAGTTTTGGACTCCCCCATCCCAGGGAAAAGACCTTGGCTATTCATCCTATCCATGGCTCTCATGATTTTATAAACCTCTATACGGTCACCGTTCAGCCTCCAATGCTCTGGGCAAAATAGCCCTAGCCTATTCAGCCTCTCCTTACAGCTGCAATCCTCCAATCCTGGCAACACCCTTGTAAACCTTTTCCGAATGTTTTCAAGTTTCATATCCTTCCTATAGCAGGGAGACCAGAATTGAATGCAGTATTCCAAAAGTGACCTAACCAACGTCCTGTTAAGCCGCAACATGATGTCCCAACTCAATGCACTGACCAATAAAGGCAAGCATACCAAACGCCTTCTTCACTTTCCTGACTACCTGGGGGACTCCACTTTCAATGAACTATGAACCTGCACTTCAAGATCTCTTCATTCAGCAACAGTCCCTAGGACCTTACCACTACGTGTATAAATCCTGCCCTGATCTACCTTTCCAAAATGCAGCTCCTCATATTTATCTAAATTAAACTCCATCTGCCACTCCTCGGCCCATTGGCCCATCAGATCAAGGTCCCAATGTACTCTGAGGTAACCTTTTTGCTGTCCACTACATCTCCAATTTTGGTGTCATCTGGAAACTAATTAATTATACCTCCTATGTTCACATCCAAATCATTTACATAAGTGACGATAAACAGTGAACTCAGTTGTCAGTGACTATGGGTAAATAGCAGACATATTGAATAATTATTTTGCCTCAGTATTTACAGTAGAAAAGGAAGATAGCTTGTTGTATGTCCTGAGGAAATTAACAGTGAATTAGAAACAGGGACTGAATAAAATTAACGTAAGTAAAACATCTGTATGAAGAAATTAGTAGATTTAAAGAGTGACAAATCCCTGAGACCTGACGGTTTCCATCCAAGGGTGTTAAGGAAGGAAAGGAGCACATTAGAAATGCCCTAACTATAATCTTTCAGAGTTCCCTAGATGTACGAGTCAAACTGCTGGATTGGAAAGTTGCACATGTCACTTCACTTTTTAAGAGGGGCGAAAGAGGAAAACCAGGGAATTACAGACCAGGTAGTCTAACATCTGTAGTGGGGAAATTATTGAAGTCTATAATCAAGGATGGGGTAACTGAACACCTTGAACATTTTCAGTTAGTCAGGGAGAGCCAGCATGGATTCATGACAGGTAGGTCATGCCTTATAAACCTCATTGAATTTTTTGAAGAATTGACTAAGGTAGTGGACAAAGGAATGTTTATGGATCTCGTTTATATGAACTTTGAGAACATATCTTATAAAGTCTCACATAAGAGACTGTTAACTAAGGTAGAAGCTCATGGAATTGAAAGCAAATTACTGACATGGCTTTGAAATTAATTGAGTGGCAGGCAACAGAAAAGAGGGATAATGGGTAGATACTCAAATTGACAGAATGTGATCAGCGGTGTCCCACAAGAATCTGTGTTAAGGCCTCAATTATTCACATTATTTTTTAATCACTTAGATAATGGAACAGAAAGTCATATATCCAAATTTGCTGATGACACAAAATTAGGCAGCATTATCAACAGTGTAGATGATAGCATAAACTTACAAAGGGATATTGATAGACTAAATGAATGGGCAAAACTGTGGCACATGTAAGCGCATGTGAGGTTACCTTTTTTGGACAGATAAAGGATAGATCAGAGTACTTTCTAGATGGTATGAAGTTAAATACAGTGGATGTCCAGAGGGACTTGTAGGTTCAGGTGCATAGATCTTTAAAATGTAATGAACAGCTGCAGAAAATAATCAACAAAGCTAATGGAATGCTGGCCTTTATATCTAGAGGACTGGAGTACAAGGATGCAAAAGTTATGCTGCAGTTATACAAAACCCTGGTTAGAACCCACTTGAAGTAATGTCAGCTTATCAGTAAGGATATGCAACAGCATCTCCTTCACAGTAATCCTCAACACCATTGCCCCAGCCCCTGCATACTCAGCCCCTTGCTATCCTCCTTATACACTCACAACTGGGTGGCCAAATTCAGCTCTAATTCCATTTTATGAAATTGCTGATGACATCACCATAGTGGGTCAGATCTCAGACAATGATGAGACAGAGTACAGGAAGGAGATAGACAGC